AAAATTCATTTTGATCCATTTTTCTTAATTTCGTTTTGATTTTTTTTAAATTTAGATTTTTAATTTTAATTTGGTTTAATTTACTCTTTTTCTTTTAAATTTGGTTTAATTTGAAACGTTGTTTACTTTTAAATTTAATTTTTCTCTAGTAATTATATTTTCTTTTTAATTTATGTGTGTAGACATACGATTTTGTCCAAACATGCTGTTGATATTACATTATATAATATATTTATATATATGGTATTATATGGTGAATACGAATTGCGTATTTATGATGAATACAGTGTGCATACATTATTGTATACATTGTATTCATGTTATAATGCGTATGATATTTTATATATATATATATATATATACATATTTATTCTTTTTTCATTTACAGACCCAGCCCAGATACAAACAAGCCCAGTTACAAAGAAACCAATAACCCCATAGCCTAGCAGTAGCATGACCCGACTGCAACCCAGGACCCGAGACCCGGGTCCACTGGAAGCTCGACCCGAATTGAAATAGTTAGGGTTTGCAAACCCTAACTCTCACCCCTCTCTTCTTAGTACCGCAGCAGCCACACACGCAAGGAGCGGGTCAAACCAACGGCAACAAGGCTACCTCTGAGTTTCCCGACAACGTGTTTTCGTGGGACTCACCAACCAACAAACTAACCAAGCATTTCAGTTAGGATCAAACTCTAAAACAAACTAAAAATAGGACTTTTTTTAGACTATATATATGCGTATGTACATAGAGAAAAATACAGGAAATTACGAGCAATCAAAAGAGAAAATACTAGAAATACCCGAGGGAATCGAAGAAAAAATTGTAAATTTTTTTCGAAAGCCATTCGAAATAAAAAGGTACCATTTTTTCATTGCTTGGTCGCCCATCTCGCTTGCATGTTGTTCTTGTTTTTGTTTTTTGACTCAAAAAAATCGAAAAGAGGAAGGAAAGCCGAGGATCGGGGGAGGGGTTTTTCAAAAGATCTTCTCTAGATCTAGCCCTCCCCGAGGCTATTTTGAAAAAAAAATATTTGGATTTTTTAAACGAGGGTAAAAAAAGCTTTAAGAAAATGTAAAAAAAAAAAAATCAGCCACCGCCGATGAACGACGATCGGCGAGGCTATAGCCAGTCAGTTTCTGGGTTCCACTGCGGTGTTCTTCATCAGATGAAGAACACCCAAGAACATTTCAGAGGATTTTATGGTTTTCGTTTTGATCTGTTTTGGGGAGAATGGAAAATGAATTTGTGTTATGAAAGTTGGGGTTTATACTCGACCCACTGGGCGACCCACGCGTTGACCCAATCCAATCCCAGGATCCGTGTGTTTCGTTAAAAAAGGGTAATTACATTTTTGGTCCCCCATCATTTTTGTAAAGTTCATTTTACCCCCTTAAATTTTGACTTGAGGCTCGATTTCCTTTCAAATTGTACCATTTATTTTATTTTCTTTTAATCTAGTCATTTACTATTTATATATATATATATATATATATATATATATATTATTTTTATTTTCATTATTTTCATTATTATTTTTTTTCATTATTTTTTATTTTTTTATTTTTGGTTTATTTTTTATTTATTTTTTCCTAACGTTTTATTTATGCATATATATATATATATATTATATATATATATATATATTATATATATATTATTTTATTTATTTGTTTTTATTTGTTTTTTAACATTCTTATATGTATATATATATATATATATATATTTATTCTTTTATCATTATTTTTTTCCTTTCCTTTCCTTTTATTTATTTATTTATTTTATTTGTTAAACACTATTATATATGTTTTATTTTTATTTTTTTCTATTTTTTCTATTTTGTTTTATTTTTTTTCAGTTTTTAATCTTATTCAATTTTATTTTTTCCTTATTTTTATTTTTATCATATTCTATTTTGTTTTAATCATTTTACTTTTTATTTTTTATTGTGTTTTATTTTATCTTTATTTTTCTTTTTCCTTTTTTGAGATTAAGTATTTTATTATTATTATTTTTATTTCATTTATTATTACTTAGCTTTTATTTGGGGTTTTTTATGTTTTTTTTATTTTACTTCTTTTCCTTATTATAATAATTGTTTATATTTAATTTTGCAATTAGTATTTTTATATTTATGCATCTTTCTTTCTGGTTACTTCAATTCAATGGACCCTTTATTTGCTTTGTTTTTATTTTATTTCTTTTAATTCATCAACATGCATTTTTTATCTTAATTCGATTATGCACCTTATTACATCTAACGCTTTTCTTGACTTTTTTAAGGGTACATTTTAAATCCATTAAAGCTAAGTAGTTTGGATCAATTGTTACTTTTTAATTTAACTTTCAATTTTCTTAATTAAATAATACTAGAAATTAATTAGTGCCAAAAGGGCAGTTCAAGGGTATTAATCCTTCCTTGACTGTAATCGGCCCCCGAATCCGACACATCTTTGGTAAGACGTAGATCAGGTAAGATGATATCCGATCAGTCTAAATATTATTTTTAAAATAGTCGGTGGCGACTCTAATCATTTCATTCAAGTCAAAGCCCAATTTTAGGCCAACCCGAAAGACGGTTGCGACAATGTGATTTTTAGCCGTTTATATTTTAAAAAAAGTATTTTTCCTAATTTGATTATTTTCCTTTTAATTTACTTACTTTCCACGTTTTTTATGTTTTTCCTTGATTTGATTTTTTTATTTATTATGTTTGTTTTATTTTTTTATTGTGATTAAAATTTTCTGCTAATTTGGTTGTTTTTTTCCTTTTAATTCAACAATCTAAAATGTTTCTTATATACACATCTCATAAATGTATTTGTTCGAATTCAAGGTTCTAGAGTAAATAATATTTTTTATCATTGAAATTACCCGATGAGTTCGAAGTTAATTATATTTATAAACGAAAATGAAAGAAATAAATAAAAAATAATGCAAAAGGGTTGTATGCAGGGACGAACATAAAATTTTATGTTAGAAGATAACTATAAAATTTTAAGAGTGGACAGACTTATAAAATTTTAATGGGACGAAAATATATTTTCAATTAAAAATACATAGAGAAAATATAAAATAAATGATAATTTTAGAATCTTAAAAGAAACAACTGCTCCCCCTCATTCCCTCAGTCTATTTATGATTGTATGAAAGTTCTATGCGCCTTGCTAGTTTGCTTAGATAGGCCATTGTCAAGAAGTAACGCTGCCATTTCATTTAAGAGAATGGCCCTTATCCATAGATTCCACATTATCTTGTTTATTTATTTCATTTTTATCTCAATTCCAAAGCCCAATCCTCACCCACACACCTTTCCTTTTTCCTTCTAATTTTTTTCTGATTTAATATTAATTAGGAATAATGCAAAAATAGCCCCCAATATTTATCAAAATATTCATTTTAGTCCCTATTCTTTTTTTTTGAAACATTTTGGCCCCAACATTTCACTTAGGACAAAAAGCTCCATCTATAGATGAAAATAATTAATTAACACACAATTAACACTCCAAAATAGCAGCCCTTTTTAACCTAAAATGAAACATTGAAGTCTAAAATACCCAAGAAAAAAGAATAAAGGACAAAGTGATTATTCTATCAAATATTAGAGACATTTTTACTCAAAAATATAACTTTAGAGGCCAAAATACTCAAAAAAATAAAAAAGAGAGTAAATGATAATTTTAATAAATATTTGAGGCCATTTTTGACATTATGCCTATTAATTATTGCAACTTATAAGTTGTCAAAATCATGTCAAGTTCAACGACAATCATATATTCTTTAATAATTATAGCATGCCCATGGATACAATTTTGTATGATTTGTATTAAATAATCAAATTAAATAATAATGGATTTCAATAAAAATAAATAAATAATAGATTGATATAAGTGATTAAATAAAACGTTAAGGATTTAGTTGAGAATTTATAATAATACAAGGGTTTATTGTGCCGTTTTCTCAATTTCAATTTCAATTTCCCAGATAAGTCGCATGATATTTGACATGATTTGTTTGATTGATCCACTCTTATTGGGGCATATATTAGTGAATTAATTTATCCAAGCTTTCGAAAATAGAATATTTAATATTAAATTTAAACTATATGTTTTTTGTGATTAAAGAATAATATTATTAACCAATGCGAATCACTTACAAAAGTTAAAATATAATAATAGCCAAATTGGTTCTAGTGAATAAATTCAAATAATATAATAAGATGCTGAAAGTTAAAATATTAAATATAATTTAAATCATAAATATTTGATATAATTGAATTAATATTAATATACAATTATAAGATGGAATTTAAATAGGAATAAGATTTAATTACACAATTTAAAATCTTTTAGTTTTATACTGATTTAAGATCATTGAATAAATGTTGTTTGTTTACTTTAGAATGATTAAGTGTTGAATGATTTAAATGTTGAATGATTCAGAGGTTCTGTATGAATTAGCTCTGAATGTGACATGCTGTTTTATAATGGATCTGAATCATTCAGAATGTACTTCTGTGCTGAATCATTCAGCACTGTTTTGCTGAATCATTCATCACTATTTTGTTGAATCAGTCAGCACTGAATCATTCAGATGTGCGAAACAAACGCGCTCGCTGAATGGTTCCATTAAGAGGCAAACAAACAACCCCTAAGTGTAAATAGAAGGTTGAGATTAACAATAGAAAATGCGAAGATATTTACTAGAAAAAATAATGAATTAATCTCAACTTTCTATTTATACTCATTTGACGATCTTAAATTTGTCTAAAACTAAAAGATTTTATGTTGTGTTAAGTAGGTATTAACCCATTTAAATGTTATAATTTTTTAATTGTCCGATAATATGTTAATTTAAAAATTTCAAATTACACAATAAAATTTGATACGAAAGATATTCAAATAACTTAAATATTTTAGCTACATTGCCAAAATGATAGAACAAAGGGGAAAAAACCCTAGCAAACCCAAAAATCAATCACATGATTTATTCTCAACTCAAAAAAAAATGAACTTCAAAGCCAGTTCATGGTCATGGAAGATAAAAGATGCAAACCCCAAAATCAAGGGAATTTAAAAACTTGGGGAGGGGAGGGGAGGTTTAAGGCCTACATACCCTGATCAACGAGGTAATCACTCAACCTCTCAACCACCATGTTACACTGTCCTGGAGTCACCGGTTCGTCGTATAACCCAAAAATCAATGCTTGCCCTGTTTTCTTCACAGTCACGCCGCCGGTTCCCAGCCAAGTTAATCGGAACGACGGATTTCTTTAGCTCTTGCACCATAATCAGTTCAACTATAACTTGGAATAAGCAACAATAAATAATAATTCACAATTAACATTGATGAAAAAAATTGGAAAGTTTGCTCAAGTTATTCGCAAGTGTTCATAACTATATAAGATGACATTATGCAACTATTTTGAACCATTATCCGAAAGAAGTAAAATTGGCAATTTTTCTTAAATAGAATGATGAAAAAAATGAATTTTTGTGCAAGGGATGTTGCATATTTTATTTTCTCAAGGTGATCTTTATAATGTTTTGAGAAGACGTACGAAAGACCCGACGTCTTCCTCAAATAAACAAGGGGTCGTGTGTTCCGTCGAAGATGCCGTATAGTCCAAGCGCCTTCCTAAATCACTATAACATTTACCCTATTTAGAACACAATCGATGCATAGCTAGACACCTGTAATGTACATATGTAAAATAAGATAATGATGGCTGCCTTGATGAATGATAGCTGCAATTGAGAACTGAAAAATGCTTTAGGAATAAAGCTTTCTAAAAATAAAACCAAAAATCAATATCTCATCCATGTGTTTGGGCTGTTTAATGAACAAGAGACTAATCGAAAAGGACTAGCAAATCAAGGGTGGATGAAATTGTAGAGTCCTGGAAAATGAAACTTTAGGAGAAGGAAAGAGTTTGTGATTCGTTTAGTACCGCTATCTAAACACACTTTTAGTCTAAAAGTTAGGTTTAAAATAAAAAATATTATCAAATAAATAAAATTTAAAGGTAAAAGCGCCTTTAAAATGATGGTTTTAAACCAACCGCAAAAGATAAATTTTCTAATCTTTTAGTTTAAATTTCCGTTTGATTTTACCCATAATTTTTTTTAAAAAATTTAATTGTTTTTATAAATGATGAATAATTATTTTTTGCTCAAAAAAAAACTTTTAAATTCATTTTATATTTTTATTATAATTATATATTTCATTTATATTTTTTTTATAATTTAATTTGATATTTTTATATATTAAAGTATTAATAAATTTAAAATAATTTAAATTAATATATTTTTAATTTACAATATAACTCTAGAAGGGATATTTTATTTTATTAAAAGTATTTTTAGATAATAATACAAAACAATTAAATTTTAAATTACACTTTTGAAACTATGACATTTTTGAAGGTGATTTTCAAAAGCAATGTCAAACTAGCTCTTAATAGTCTAAAAGATCTAAGAGAATAAGAACGAATAAAAATAAAAAATTTGACTAACCAACTAAATCTTATAAATTTATACCCTAACATAAAATCCACCCGTTTGTTATTAATCGGTTATTAATCAGTGTTTGTTGGTGCCCATTAAGAGGTGTGTGCGTTGAATGTATTCTCCAAACAGGCAAGCTTACAACAATAAATGAGTAATAAAAAGAGGAATGGAGCAGAATAAATGAGTAATAAAAAGAGGAATGAACAATGACCTTCTTCCCACGAACCATGGCTCCAGGCTCTCCCTGGATCACCATGTACTTGGCGCCACCAAGGTGCAGCCCAGTTGGTGCCAGAGATCCTGGTTCATCAAAATCTCTCAGGATCGCCTTAATCTCCTCTGGCTTAAACTGTGAAAAATAGAAAATGGAGATCGCAAATATCAGTCGAGTACACATTATGAAGATCTCCGAATAATCAAACACAGAAATGTATTGATAAATCGAATATTATAATTTAGAAATTAAAACCGGATAATGCGATGAAGAATGACCTGAGGAAAAGCCGAGCTCTGGGCCCAAACACTGCCATCGAGACCAAGAATAGCGGCGGAGGACGAATGGTGGCCGTTCTCGATTTCGCACATCAAGTGCTCATCAACGTAAGTTTGCCACGACATTCTTGTTTGTTTGTTTCTTTTCAAAATTGCTTCAATTTTCTGATTTCTTCTCAGGCCGAGGAGTATAAATAGGAGGGATTTTGCCTCTCTCTAGTGTAAATTACTCTAATATTACAGCTGGAATTTTTTTCCTTCAAAATATTGCGTATCCTAATTTATTTTTTAATTTATGTTATTTTGATTGGTATATTGAAATATGATTTTAGTGCAACTCGTCTTTACTGTTCAGATTATTTTTTGAATAAAAAATTAGAGAGGATTGGTATACAACCCGTCTTTATTGTTCATATATATATATATATAAAGCCACTGTGAAGACACAATTGGAATTAATATGTCTTCATTGTTCATATATACATAGTTATAGCGTAGATGGTGAGAATACAACTCATCTTCATTGTTAATCTAAAAAAATTATTATTTCATTCAAAGGGAGCAGCAAGAGGCAGACTAGGCGAGTGCTAGTTGGGCGGCAGTACAAGCGTAGGCGAGGCAGGCTAGATGCATGAGGTTTGGAATAAAGAGTAATAAGGTAGTATTGATATATAGGGTAGAGGTATTAATTAATTACTAATAATTTAATTATATTGTGTAGGGGTAGATGATAGGGGTAGATAACAAGAAAATAAATTGTTATGTTGAGAGAGTTGATTTTTTTTGTTAAATAGGTGAGGTTGAAAATAAAGTGTGGAAAAAATTGGAGTAGAGAAGAAGAAGAAGAAGAAAGTGGAAGAAACTCTAGTAGTAAGTTGGATTTGGTTTTTTAATTTTTAATGAAGTAATATTAATTTTTAATTTTGTTTTAAATTTTTAGATTGTATATTATTGACATAATTTTAATTTTACATATGTAATTTCGCTAGATTTGGAACAAAAAAGAAGAAGAAAAAAAGATTTGGAACTTTGGTAGAATATTTTGGATTAAACATATAACCCCTCAGACCGATGCGGATAACCCGATCCGATCTGGAGTGTCACATTAGGGCTACTGGAGCGACCCACCATAAAAATAGCGAAAAATTTAAAACTTTTCTTAAAACATGTATACTCATAAAATCTTTTATGAGTACAAAATAAAAGTTATCAGTATTCGAAATAAAACAGATTTTCAGACTCGTATATAAAACAAAATACAATTACATGCCCCCTAATCACATGTACCAAACTCTGGAAGCAACGCCAGAAGAACTCCCATACTGATGTCGATAGTTGCACTGGTACAATTCTTTTAACCTACAATGGTGAATAATAGAGTGAGCTTCGGAAAGCTCAGTAATACAGAACTACCAAATGATGCTGCAAGACATGCCGATAAATGTAAAGCCATATAATTTCCTTATTGAATCAGATGTATACAAATTTTTGTTATAATCAGGGGTTTAATTGGTAGTTCATCGAATAGAAGCCATGAATATCTCAGTTCAAATGAAGCATTCATAGTATCACATTTTTAGGAAATTGACTACGATGTCTAGTGTGTTCCAACAATACGATAAAATCATAATAGGTACACTAATCAAATGATAGTTTAGTAAATCTCATAAATCATACTGTAGTGGAGCTTTTTAAACTTGTAGTTTAAAACCATTGTATAAAGAGTTAACCTAAGGGAACATCTTAGGGCCTGAGAACCTACCCAAGAAAGTTTCGGGTCCACGAGGCCTACCTAAGAACACATCTTAGGGCCGCAGGGCCTACCTGAGAATGATCTCAGGGCCGTAGAGCCTACCTAAGAGTCACATTAGGTCCATAAAAAGTTTCCATCTTGATCAGAGTTGTACTTTACAAATTTGTATCTCCAAGATACAATTTATACAATGATAGAATTCCATAAGCCAATACCATTAAGTCGGTGCATCCATAAAACAATAACCATAGATTTCAATGTACCACATGTTAAAACAATAAAACAATTTATTAATATATAGGGAACACACTAGAGAATCCAAGTATTTTTCAGAGGCATTTTGTAGTTATCAGTATGGACAACATGAAATTTTTGCAATCTGATCAGATTACAGGAACAAGGTCCTATTAGAGAGAATAAATTACTAACCAATCTAATCAGACATTTAAGGCTGATACTTTAGAATCCCAATATGTTTTCATATGCATCAAGAAAGCGTTCACGACTGTCTGAAGTGATTTGAGCTAATAAAGGATAAACGGAGATTCAAGACATTAACAATCCATGTTGATCGATCGGTTTCTCGAACAATTCAAAATGAACAACCCTCATAACTAATGCATGGCGACCCGTCAATTTACTGCCTTTCCAGAGTATTCACTCTTTAATACTAACAATTCTTGTCCATAAATCATCTTCGTAATCATCACTGAATAGATATTTCAATGGTCTTTATTTTATTTCCACGTTTCAACGATATCAGGAAATACATACGTACTTGATTCATGGTTCATGATCCATAAGGATAATTCATCATGTAAGTTTAACAGTGTTTCCAGACTCATCCAAATCACTTATTTAATCCTCATTCATTGAGGTAACTTAGTTCATTTAGCAATCAAATCTATCCCGATTACTATAGAGTTTTCCAGAGTAATTCATACATTTCTGAATTTCAGATACATATTGTATTTCCGTTCAATTCAATTTAATCATATAATAAAGTCATTCTGGTACTCGTGGTTAATTTATCTCATGAATATCCACTTCTTAGTATCGAATGCGCTCTAGAGTTGAGCTAAGCCAATTATTTCCAGAATTATCATTGATCCAAACTGGCAATGACGAACACACATTCAAGTGATAGCTATGCCATTCAGGTATTGATATAGCTTTAGGGTTGATCTATTCACTTATATTCTGTTCCATTACTTTTAAGGGTAGTACAACCCTAGGTTTAATTGAATTCCTTAATTACCCCAAGATATTTACTTAGTTTAGGCCATAAGGGCATTTTGGTCCTTTTGGTGCTCAATGTTTTTCCATTCATTTCAAAGCCTGAGGATATTCATTTATTCTTGGGCTTGGTGATATTCTTGAGTCATTTCTATTACAGGGGTATTTTGGTTATTTTACAGATCCATTGTATTTCAACCCTTTCCTTCCAACTGATCTTATTATTTAATTCAAACGTATCATCTTTTCCAGTCCCTTCGAACAATTCTGAAAAAAGAGCACATTCGATAATTTATTCTTAACTCAAAAATTTTCAGGTCAATTGCCTTCTCGAAAATTACAAACAGGTTATCAGTAATTTTCTGTACAAAGACAAGATCTTAACAATTAAATCCTTAACTTATCGGCTAGGTACGAAATCTCATTCAGGGTCAACTCAGACTATTTATACCTCTCAAGGGCATTTTTGTAATTTCATAACTAGATAATTCCGGTGTTAAACTCTTAACAAGGATAATATAATTTAAAGATCCTAGGGTTAGTCGTTCTCCCGGATAATATCTGAACTTGAAATGATTCCTTATCAAACTTATAGTATCTTGCGTAAACCCTCTTGGGGTTAAAAATCAGTTATCCATATTCTCTAAACAAAACTAATATTTATTATCCACATCTGTAGTTTTATCCGATCAATATGTCTTTTCAGAGTTATTAATCAACTTCAGGGATAATTCTTGTGATTTTACAACATAAGGGTATTTTCGTAATTTTACCAAACCGAAGTATTCTCATAATTTCTCATCTAAGTACCTTTAACATTTAACCTTTGATGATATAAATTATAAATTAAAAACCAGACTGATTCATTTATCACATAATCACAAAACTTAGATTAATTTCATCTGTCCTCCAATTTCTTATATTAGTCATCTGAACCATATTCCGTTACCGCATCTTTACCGTATTCGGATCGAGTGTAGGAATTAATTAACTACACAAATGAGACCAAACATTATTTTATTCATGCATTAACCAATATCAACATGCTCCATAAAGCATAAAGAGGTAGTAAAGTATTACCTTGATTTTCGTGCCATACTGATCGACCATATAAATTCTATTCGAACGCCCTCGATCTTGAAATCAAATTCCAATAATTCCTTTGATGCATATCAACTGAAATTTCATTAAAAACAGAGCTTAATTGTGAAAAACGGATCGAATCGAGTGATTATTTAGTCAAAAACAGCTTACCGAGTTCAAATTTGACGAAACGGACTTCATATTCAGGACGTCGAAAAACATACAATATTTCTTTTCAAAAATTTTGACTTTTTGGTCAAAGTTAAAGGGTTTGACTGACAATTTCGAGGCTTTCGGGTTCGAATTTGGAAAAACGGACTTCAGAATCAGACTCGGGACGTCGAGAAACATAAAATATGACTTTTCAAAAAATTTGACTTTTTGGTCAAAGTAAACGGTCAATGGTCAACGGGTCGGGTCGGGCCAAAACTGTGTCAAACTGCCCCAACATTTTTCGAAGATCCCCCACGCGTAGGGACAGTTTGTGGGGGTGCCTGAACAGTGTTACGATCTCTGAAAAATTCTCGAAAATTATTAAAAATGAATTTAAAGCATTTTTTAGACACTTACCAAGCTCGGTTCACAATTTTGAACGGTGGAGAGCTCGATTCCGAAACATCGAAAACTTTAACTTTCTCACCCCTCCACGCGTCGGCGACGACGGAGACACGGAGAACACCGGTGGACTCGAAACGATGCAAGGAACACGATGGTGTGGGAGGTGTCGAAAACGGATGGTCGGATCAACGTGAATCGATGAAAAACCAATGGAAATTAAGTTAAAACTGACGATACTTCCTATTAATATTTACGACAAATGACGTCGATTCATAACGAAAGGTTTGAGGGGTTTTGTTCATCATTCGACAATGAACACGATGGTGGTTTCGGTTCGACGAACGGTGGTCGGACGGTAAGTAGATCGGAGTTTAAAATCATTGATCGGGGAGAGGGAAAAATGAAAACTTTCCACAGAAACATACGGGGGACAGGTTTATGTTCTCTCAAAAAGAAAAATGGGCAAATAATGAGTTTAGTCATTGAATTTCCTACACTTTATAAAATGAT